GATTCACAAACAATGACAATAAATTAGAATTTTAAATACTAAAAATATATTGTAATTACTGAAAAACTGCATGAAAATAAAAAAAAAATTAGTAGCATTTACCAATTTCCGCCACATGATGGCGCTAARTATTCTCTGCACCAAAAGACAACGTAGAGGAAGAAGAAGGAGTGAACCAATCAGATACATCGGAGTTTCGACGTCATTTAAACTATCCAATAGGCCTCGAGCTGATSGAATCAGCGTTTCATCCGTTGGAATTTGAATTTCATTAGAGAACCCAAACAGTTGCTGAAAGAAGCGTCGCTCGCGCTCAACGTAAGTGGAGTTTTATTTTAATTTCGCACAAATAGTTTCTCTACTTTTATTATTAGGATATTTATTGATTTCTAGCGCAATTTAGTTTTTAGCTTCTGATTGGATTCAGATAAAATATGAAGCCGTATCGGTGATGTTCCCGTTTAAAGTGCACTCCACGCGACAAAAAATAAATAGAAACTGTAGCTGAAGGAATTTCCTTTGAATTAATGTTCACTCTAAATCTACTTTGTTTTACTTAATACTTCGGATGTTTGTTTGGTAGTTGGTTATTTGCATTTTTTTGTATGATTATCTACGGTGTTAATGTAACTCGTCTCTGCTCGCTATTCATTAAACCTGACATCCGGGCAACTAACAAGTAATAATAAATTACACTTCCTGCAAACTGCATCTGTTATGCACGGTTCTTGGTGTGTGATTATTGAAAGTACTTGTGTTTAATGTGGTTTAATACCGGAGTCTGTTGTGGATGTGTTGAATCAGGTTTCGACCATGAGCTGGGCGGTGGAGGAGTGGAAGGATGGACTTCCGGGGAAGGCCCTGCAGAAGATCCAGGAGATGGAGGTCCAGCTGGACAAGCTGAAGAAGGAGAGGACGCAGAAACAGTTTCAGCTGGATTCCTTAGAAAGCGCCTTACAGAAACAAAAACAGAAGGTCAGCGTGATTTGTCCAAAAACAAACTGTGTTACAGCTGAAAATTGAGTCACAGACTGTTTGGACAACATGAAGAAAATCCTATGTTTCTTTTTTCTTTTCTTTTCTTTTTTTTTTATTCTCAGGTTGACAGTGAACGCACAGAAACCTCAGCTTTGAAAAGAGAGAATCAGTCCTTGGTAGAATCGTGCGATTCTCTGGAGAAAGCTCGTCAAAAGGCTGTTCACGATCTCGGTGTCAAAGAACAGCAGGTCAGTTTCTGACAGGAAGTAGAAATGAAATGCAGTTCATACTGCTGTTAGACATGGTACAGTCATAATTGTAATCATCCTTGCTCATCTAAAGAAAAACAAAGAGAACATCGGTACTGTCCAAAAATTTGGGATTACGTTTATCTTTGAACTTGCTGTCATCTTAACTGGATGATTTTCCCCATCAAAGGTGAATTATCTGGAGGGTCAGCTGAATTCATGCAGGAAAACGATTGAGCGACTGGAGCAGGAGCTGAAGAAGTGAGTTGTTTTCCCCCTCATATTTGGGAAAGACTTGGAGGGTGGCGGGGAGTCCTGAATATCATTTGAGGCTTTAACATTTCCCTCAGGTACAAAAATGAGATGGATCGTTCTCAGCTCGGCGGCTCCTCATCGTTGTCCTCCTCCTCCTCTGAGCTGCAGTCCTTCACTCCACAGAAGACCTTTGCCACACCAGCCCCTGTCCCCACACACAGACACCAGGGTATTTCAGATTGTTTATGTTTGCTGTGGTTTGTTTTCATCGTGTTTCAAACCAAACCATGTTTGTGTTTCGCAGATAACCGACTAGAGGAGCTGCAGGAGAAATACAACCAAGAAGTGGAAGACAGAAAGAGGCTGGAGACGGAACTCAAAGTCTTGCAGGTCAAAGTGAGTAAAGTAGATGTTTATTTAATGTTCTTTTACTTTATGGGAGTTGTAACAAATATTTTTATTTATTTTTCCAGATGTTGAGTCAGTCGTCCGTCAGCTCCGTGAGCCACAAAGACATCGCAGCTCGCCAAGCCGGCTCGTCCATATTCCCGTGGCAGCAGCAGGATCACAGTGCCCGTGCTCCGGATGGGACGGAGACGCCTCTGAAGAGACGAGGGGCGTCTCTGTGGGAGTCTCACGAGGAGACCCCGATTAAACCCGGACAGAGGGTGAGCTCGTCCCGAACGGTTCAGAGTCCCGGTGGGTCCTCCCAGCAGCTGGAGCAGCTGAAGACTCTTAACCAAGGTGGGACCACCGCTTGCTTTGATAATACTGAACTGGCCCAGCTTTCTTCTTTAAGCTCTTGGGGATAAATGAAAAATATTTTGTGTGTAATATCTCAGAGCTGCGCACCCGTGTGTCAGAGCTGGAGAGAAATCTGTCCAATCAGGAGAAGGAAATTCGTAATCAAGCCTCCAAACTGCAGGAGCTACAAACTCATCTGAACCAGGCTCGTAAAGACCTCGCAGAGCGGGACAGAGACCTGGCCAGGGCGGGTCATGAACTGAGTCAAGCTGCAGACAAACACCAGCAGCTGGAGGCCAAGGTACCACAGCACTTATTTTTTATATTTCTTCAGATCTGCTTGGTTACACGACCTAAACTGGGGACAGATGATGGGTAAAAAAGTGATGGAGAGTTGAACAGGATATTGATCTGGATTGTTGTCAGAGTTCATCGCTTGAGCAGAAGCTGAAACGGGTCACAGAGGAGATGAACTGTCAGAGGCACAACGCAGAGAGCTGCAGACAAGCCCTGGAGCAGAAACTCAAGGATCAGGAAAGAAACAGTCAGAAGGTGAAACAACATGGCCTCCATGATGTCTCAGCGTTTGGCTGTCTTTAGCTTTTAAAAGTTACAGAGGATGGATTATTTTATTAGGATGACAATAAAGGATCTTTCTGCAGGAGCTGGCCCAGCTGCAGAGCTCCCATCAGGCTTTGGATCAGCAGCTCAACCAGACCAGAACCAAGATGACACAAGAGATCCAACAGTCCAAAAAAGACTACAATGTGCTTCAGGCTGATCTGGACAAGGTAGTTTTATAAAACTGTTTTTTTTTTATCTCTCTTTATAACAGGATGTCTGCAGGGTTTAAAAGTATTAAAATGTAGGAACTGAAATGAGCAAAATTAAGGTCATTAAATGGAATAAACATCATCTGACAAGGTATTGATTATTTTAAACAATATGTTTTTCCCCGTCTCCTAAATTTCCCATCACTACCTACAACAATGAAATCAGTTTTTGTCTTGAGTTAAGGTTAAATAACAAATACTGTATTTATTCATGTATATTACTAGAAATAAAGATCATCTATAAAGTGTGTGTGGTAGTATTATACACGGGTTATTGATTAGATTTTTTATGCTTTTTTAAAAAAAAATGATCGTATTATACTCAAGATCATACTATACATGAGTAAATACAATAGTTATTTATATGTCAGTGTTTTTATTGAGGCAAAGCAGTAACTATGTATCCAGTAACTAATACACTTACTAAAGTTAAGTAAGAAAATAACACTAATTTATTACTTTGAGTTACCCCAACTGAAGTTCAAGAGGTTTCTGCTACAGTTGCAGATTGCAGTCATGTTGGTATTAAATAATGTGATAATATAATATTAGGTAATATTGTGCTTTTAAAAAGGTATTAAATTGAACTTAAGAATTTCTGTATACGATTCCTACCTGACTACAGTGATGTCTTTAGGTGCCAAGAGCAAATTAAGTAGACGATTCTGGTATATTTGTTTAAATTTGTGTCACTTTTCTTGTTTATAGATGAGCCTCCAGAAAGCTCAGATAGAGAAGGAGTCGGAGGAGCAGAAACAGAAGCTGCTGCGGTCAGAACAAAGTCTGCAGGTCAGCCAGAACAAAGAGCAAGACCTTTGCAAGAAAATGGAAGTGAGTTCAAACCTTTTTTTTTTTTTTTCTGAAATAATTTCTAATAACTTCTTTTTGTTGCTAATGAAGGTGTATTTAGCTTTAAGCTGACAAGTTGCTACGTGTCATCTTGCCTTCAGGAGCTGCAGAAAGAGAAGAACTGTGTGACGGCTGAGTTGGACCGGAGCAGCAGGAGCTTAGCTCAGCTGCAAGAAGAGAAACGAAACTCGGAACAGGTCCTCAAACGCACCCAGGGACTGCTGGAGGATCTGAAAGGTACGCTGGTGTTGGCAGCAGCAGGATTTTATGTTAACGTTGTCACAGTACTGATGAGTTGTCATTTGGTTCTTCAGTAAAATCAGAAGGACAGGCTGAGGAGCTGAAGAGACTTCAGTCCAAACTGGAGCAGCAGACTCAAGTTTCAGTGCAGGAGCAGGAACACTTAAAGAAAACACTCTCTGATGCTGAGGCCAGAAATGACAAGTAGGAGACCTTTTAGGGGTTTTAACAGAAAAAATAAATAAATAAATAAGCATTTTGTAATTGTGATGTTAAATATTATTTTCAGATCTCAGAATGAACTCCAGAAGCAGAAACAAGAGGCAGAGAGGCTGAACAATAAGCTGGCGTTTCTCGAGAAGGAGAGCCAGGAGCTGAACTCCAAACTGAGTGTGAGTCAGGACGAGTGTGAGGCTCTGAAACAGGAACATCGAGCTCTGCTGGAGTGGAAGCAAGGAAAGGAAACTTTAATAAACCAAACAGAAGCTGTGCAAAAAGAGCTCACTGACAAAATTAGCAGCTTGGAGAATGATGTCAGCGTGCTGAGTGAGGCTAAGRATGAACTCCAGGTGAGTGTGAAAGTGCTCAGTTTGCTGTTCTACACTAAGAGTAAAAACCCCTCAGTTTAACCCTCAGTCTAAATGCGTTGGTCTTTATTTCCCCCCACAGAATAAGACCCTKTGTGTCGAGGGGGAAAACGCCCGTCTGTCTGCTCACATCGATGCTTTGAAAGGAGAATTGCTGAATAAGAGCACAGAGCTGGAGGAGAAGGAGCATGAGTACGAGAAGCTGCAGCTGCAGTTTTCTGAAGCCGGTCAGAAACACAACAAAGACCTGGAGAACGCTGGAATTCAACTGGCTCAGCTTGAAGCACAGGTGATCTTTTTTCCCTGATAACATTTGTTAGACTCTAATATATTYAGTTAAATCTTAGAAGCTGTTATGAATAGAACTGAAAACTGCTTGTTACTTTTTTATGCTGTTCTATCTTCTTACTACATAAAAACAGATGCTGCTCATTCTTGAATCTTCACTKTAATAACAGGATTTAAAACAGGAAGTAGCGTCTTCAAGCAGTCTGCAGTAGTTGAGTTGTGTTGTCCTTACACAGGTGAAAGACCTGGAGTCACGGCTGCAGAGGGAAGCTGCTCGAGCAGAGCTTGCTGAGAGGACAAACGTGGAGCTGCAGGAGGAGCATCGAGCAGCCTGTGACCTGGTGCGCTCCAAAGACCAGCTGCTGGAGCTGGGCCTGGCCGAGGTCAGCCAGCTGAAGGAGAGCCTGGCACAGTCCACAGCACGGCAGGAGGAGCAGAGCGCCAGGTGGGAGGAGGACCTTTCAGAGCAGAGGAGGACGACTCAGATTTCTCTGGTTAACAAGTGGAACCTGATTTCTCGTGTTTCAGGCTGGTAGAGGAGAAGGCAGATCTGCTGAAGCAGTGTGAGCAGAGAGTTTCAGAAAAAACGGAGGAGCTCGAGCACATCAGGCTGCAGATGGAGGAGGTCCAGCAGGAGCTGCTGCTCTCCAAAAACCAGGTCTGTTCTGCTTATTTTCAACCACGTAGGAACCTTTTCACATCGATTGATTGATTGATTGATTGATTGATTGAACACACTTTTAAAGCTTAGTAAATTCCCATACAGTATTTACTTGTTATATTTAAGGACAAGAAACCCCTAAAACAAATAAATCTAAACATCTGATTTGGATCCAGTTAGACCTGTCACAATAACAAATTTTACTGGACGATAAATTGTCTCAAAAATTATTGAGATAAACGCAGTTTAAACAAATATAATGATATAACCCCTGTTTACGGAAGTTTACATTAAAATTAACGTAGAATAAAAAGAAAAAACAGCTGTCTGCAATCCCAAGGTGTCAGAAAACTGAAGACGCTCCTCTGACTGAAWGCCTGTTCACGGACTCTCATGCTACAGAGGCTAGGAGAGCATGTGCCTGACAAATACCTGACACTGGAGTTCACTTCTCTGTGCTAAGATGTAAAAAAGAGGAAGACACAAATAAAACAAAAAAGCAGGCAAATGAAAATTGTCTTCATTTAAATTTATCTTCCTCAGTTTAATTTCTCATATGATTAATTGATTTGTTGTTTATTGTGACAGGCCTAGATCCAGTTTGATTCTCTGCTGGTGTTTCAGATCAGCTCCACAGAGCAGTTCCTGAAGGTCCAGGAGCAGCTGGGAGCCGAGCTGCAGAAACAAAACAATGCCATGTCGCAGAAAGAAGAGGAACTCAGAAAGCTCTGCGAGCAGACATCAGAGGAGCTGAGGGACCAGAGGAGCCAGGCGGAGGAGCAGCGCAGACAGGCTGCAGTTCAAATCGTGGAGGTGGAGATGCAAAAATCTGAGCTGGAAACTAAAGTTCAAGACCTGAAGAAAGAAGCAGAGGTAAAATATCCCCAGGTTTTAATTTGGTTTGTTTCATATTTTAAATCTAAACTATTTCTCACAAATGATGAATGTGTTCTTGGTCAGATCCTGCTGGAGCAGATTTCTTCCTTGGAGGAACGAGAAGCTGCGAACAGAAGAGCAGCAGAGGAGCTCCCAGTCCTGAAAAACGATCTGGATGTGGCCAATCGATCCCTCGAGCAGCTTAACGATGCTCTCTCCTCTGCCAATGAAACTAAGAGCAACCTGGAGAACATCCTGGCTGAGAAACTGAAGCTGATCTCTGCGCTGGAGACAGAAATCCTGGACCTCACTGAGAAGATGAGGGACGAGTCGGAGAGCCGCAGAGCAGAGATTCACGACTTGATGAACAAAGAGAAGCAGCTCAAAGAGCAGCTGGAGATGTCTCAGAAATCAGCGGCTGCTGCCAAAACCGAGTTGTCTTCTCGTCGGGAGGAGATCAGAACCATGAAGTCCACCATCGCTGCTGCTTCCCGTGGCTTGGAGGAGCGAGACGGTGCCATAAAGAGTCTGAAAGAGAAGCTGAATAAAAGTGAGGCTGAGCAGGTCAAAGCTTCAGATCTGCTGAAGGAGAAGATTGCTGCCATGAACAAAATCAAGGTTGGTTATYAGCTTTTGAGTTATCATTTAAGTTTTATTTTTCTACAACCTTACATGATGCCTGAGCTTGTTTTTTGTTTTACTACATCGTTCAGTAGGCTTTTTTTTTCTACGTAATTGTTTATTGAATAAAGGTGCAGATGGAGATGCTGCAGATGGACCTGGAGGACAACGAGACGGCTATAAGCTCCGCTGACAGTCAGGTGGACGAGCTTAAGAAGACCGTAGCGTCATTAGAGGCCGAGCTCACTCAGAACCAGACCCAGATGTCTGARCTGGAGGCCAGGCTGGAGGAAAGTAAAGCTCAGGTCAGCTTACTGATGGATTTTTATCACATGATGCATTTATTGCACAGAGCATATCCTCTTCATCTGTCGTTTAAAACAAAAGTGCAGTTCAGGACACGGCCACAAAGATATTGAAATTTAATTACTGTTTTCAGGTCTCTGTCTTGGAAATCCGCTTGGACGAGGTCCAGTCCCAGAACTCCCTGCTGGAGTCCAAATACGTCACAGCCAAGGAGGAGCTGCTGGAGCGGAGCTGTGAAATCACTCGCCTGGAGGAGGACACGGTCCGACGGCAGCAGGTGGAAGAAAGCGTCGCCCTGCTGGAGTCTAAAGTCGCTCAGCTGGAGGATGAAAACACCAAGCTGGAGGCGACGCTCAGGCAGCTGGTCCAGGAGAAAGACCACCGTCTGAACGAGTTACTGCAGGAGAAAAACCACCTGGAGGTTTCTCTGAAACAACTGATGGAGGACCAACAGCGAGCGGACTCTGAAAACCTTCGAGGGAAAGAGGAGAAGGAAGAGCTGGAGGTCCGAGTGGGCAAACTAACCGAGGAGATCAAACAGCTGCAGACTCGCTTAGACGAGGAAAAACTGGAAACCGAAGCGAGGATTGTTCAGATGTCGTTAGAACGGCACCAGGCTGAAACTGCTTTGAACTTGATCAGGGAAGAGAAATCCAACCTGGTTGTTATTTTAAGTGGGATAAAGGAGGAGAAACAACAGCTTCAGGATAAATTTGACATCTTAGCTGCAGAATTAAAACAGGAAACTGAGGAGAAAGTTCAGCTGGAATGTGGCTACGCTCGGGTCTCTGAAGAAAACAAGAGACTTGAGTTCAGTTTGAGCCAGCTGGCTGAGGAGAAGCAGCAGCTGCAGGCCAGCAGAGAGGAGATCTCTTCTCTCAGAGAGGAGAACGAGTGCATCCAGCGCTCTCTGCTGTCTTCAGAGGAAGAACGCCAGAACCTGAAGGAACAGCTTGAGACGGCGGAGAGGAGGAGTGACGAGCAGAACAGAGACAGGTGTTTTTTCTTTCGTTCAAATATTCAGCGTGTTGTTTTTATTTTTACAGCTGCAGAACTCACTGCTTTGACCTCGTTCTTTCAGGAACCACCAGTTTGAGGCRGAGCAGGCGGAGCTTCACCAGAAGCTCACGGTCCTGCAGACAGAGCTGACCGAACTCAAAGAGCAGTACCGTTCACTGGTCCAACAAGTGGCCCAGCAGCACAGCCTGATCCAGGAGCTCTCAGAACCACAGGACTGTCCTGAAGGCACTGAAATCCACGGTGAGGATCGGCTGGTTGATTTTACTCTCAGTTTCACCCCAAATGATCTGTTATCTCTAATTATCTGCACTCGTTTCTCCAGATGAGGCAGAACCTGATGCTGGCGCCAACTCCTCTCCTCCAGAAAACGAACAGCGAATCGTGTCTGAAATGAAGCCGGACGAGGCTGAGAGGTGCCGTGTTTCACTGTTTACACCTGAATAATTTAGGTTTTTATTTATCATTGAGTAAAAAAGAGACACCCCCCCCCCCCCCTGTTCCGACAGTGAGGCAGAGCTGAAGTTCCAGGTGGAAAACTCTGAGACAGGAATGATCCAGAACCAGATGGAAGAGGAGAATGAGGCGTGTCAACACGATGTAGAGGAAATGAGAAGCGACACGGAGAACCAGCAGGTAGAGACCCTCCAACACTTGGTGTGTTGTCGGTACGATTCTAAGTCATTTCCATTAGGCCAGATTCTTGGAACCAGCCCTTATTCTAGTACCTACTTCGTTGTGGTTCCAAGCGGTCCCAGTCGACACCAAAATGCGACATCAGAACACTGTTCATCACTGATTGGCTAGGGGGTGGAGTCACTGCTTGGGTCTGAACTGCCTTTACAACATCAACTCTTCGAGGCGTCATTTTTTCAACTGTAGTAGTGACATTAGTCATGTTTCCATCCAATTTTAATTCGAATTTTTAAAATTTCATAACTTTTTCGGCAAATGTGTTTCTATCTCTTATTTTGCGCATTAACTCTTTTTTTGAAAAACCCAAAAACCACCTCCACCCAAAACACACCCACTGGAACTGGACTGGAACGTCAATGGAAAAGCACCTGAACAGACCCGTACYRACACTACAYTAAGTGGCATTAGTGGAAAAGGGGCAAGTCTTCCTATAAGTTCAGTTTAAAGCTGCAGTAGGTGTATTTTTTACATATATTTGKAAAACTGTCACTATGTCCTGACAGCAGAATATGAGATTAGGGAGGACCTAAGCTGCTGTTTTAATTTTAAACTGATGCTGCAGCTCGGGTTTCTCCGCAACAAGTATTTATCTTTGTGTATAAACCAAATAAATGTAGCTAATTTGTTTTATTTTTTCATCTATTAAAGGTTTCTGAAGAYGACTGCAGTCCCAGAGATGATGTCCTAAATGAGCCTGAACTCTGTGATTCCTCCTCCGTTCAGAGTGAGAAGAAAAACTTGAAACCAATCGGTAAATAGTTGGTGTTTGTTTTCCTCGTGACTTACATTTCTACAACGCTGGTTAAACGCACATCTGTCTTTCAGAAAACGAGACACAAGAAGACTTCGACTCACTCAAGGAAATTGTCTCAAATCAAGAAACGGAGCTGGAGGCCCTGCGCTCYGAGTGTGACCTGCTGAACTCTGAGCTTCAGCTGAGGAAAGAGTTGACCGCCGACCTGGAAGTCCAAATCCACAACCTGGAGCAGAAAGCTCAGGCTTCGGAGGCGGCGGCGCTTGGTGCAGCACATCAGCTGAGCGCCGCTGTGGAGGCAAAGAAAAGCCTTTCTGATGAGGTAGAAGGACAAAATGGTGTCGTCTCTGCAGTGCTGAAATTATCTTTTCAAATAGTTTTAATGTTTTGCTCTTGTTCAGGTGGCTCAGTTGTTGGAAGAGAAGGAGACGTTAACTCTGCAGCTGCAGACGTCTAAATGTCAGCTAACCGATGTCATGGAGATGCTGGAGGGACTTGAAATGGCCAAAGGTTGCCCCCCCCACAAAAATCAAGCATTAAGTTATATTTGTGCTTTATTTTATAAATTGATGATCTGTTTAACTTGGTTTTGTAGGCGGGTGGGATGAAAAGTTCCTCCAGCAGGAGAGCGAGTTAAAGAGGGTTCGYTCAGAGAAGGCCAATCTTGAGCAGCACATCCTGGGAATGGAGTCTGAGCTGGAGACCATGCAGCTGCAGAGCATCGGCCTGAAGGAGGAGATGGAGGCACAGAAGAGGACAAGTTCAGGCTTGGAACAACAGATAGAAACCCTGCTGACAGAGGTAACCACTTTTATAATTTACTGTGTTAAATCAGCATGTTTATATTTTAAATGCTACATTTATAATGTATCGAAGAGATCATAATGAGGGTATTATGAGTAGGGGCCACCAGGGGGCGCTAGGACACTCTTAGACAAAAAAAAAAGCAAAAATTACCCTGAATAAATGTTTTTCGATCATTATTTTAAAATGAAATTTATAACATCATAATGAAATGTTATTTAAGAGAGCTCTGGAGGTTTAATGTCTTTTTGTTCTGTTAATGCCAGTTTGTTAAAAAGTAGTTTTTTTTTTGTGGGAATATAAACAGTGTTTAAAACATAAGTTAATAAAGTTCTTATGCTAACTGAATAAAATAATTATTAAACAGTGAATAAAAGTGAGAAACATTCTAAAAGTTTGTTTCTGTACATACTGTATTTCGTTGCATGGTGAGTTTGCAAAGAGGGGTTTCCTGCCAGAAGGTAATGTTGTTTGGGTGGTCAGGGCATGGAAAAGCGTGAACCCCTGGATTATAATACATAAGCTAACAGACCTAGCGTCAAAAATGTAAAAAAAAAAAAAAAAATACTCGGCTTTGTAAGCTTTACAAGCAGTGAGACCAACTAATAATTGATTTATTTTCACTGGAGACGAGCCAGCTGAGAGCTGAACTTGTGACCTGCACCGAGGACAGAGATGAGTTGAGCCAGGCTTTGTGCCAGTGGAGAGAGAAGGTCCACAGTTTGGAGGAGACTAACGGTGACACCAGAAGCCTGATATCCATCCTGGAGGATGACATCAGAGCAGGGAGGAAGGAGTATGAAGCCCTGCAGAGCAGCATGGAGAAACTGAACACAGAGAAGATTCAGGTACTGAAACATGTGCTCTTTGTTTTGATGGTGAACTGTTTTAGGTTTGGGTTTTATTTTTATTTCTTTGTTTTTGCTTTTTGTACGAAGCTGTTGGAGCAAGTCAAAGCACTGGAGCAGGTGGTTTCTCACCTAAGTGGCGAAAAAGAAGAGCTGCTCGGTCGTCTTGATCAGATAAAAGAAGATCACACATCAGCCAATCAGAACACAGAGTCCATGGTCGGCAAGATACAGGTCAGCAGGACGCTCGTCGTGACAAGTTACAGCTGGGTTTTTGTTGGGAGATGAGATTTCTTTTGCTTTTTAGGCACATCTTTGGTGCTTTATTTAGAATCAAGACTAAATGTTTGTCAAATAACCTGTAACTAAAGTAAAACTTAAACATTATTTAAAACCAGGAAAWAAGGAACGTGTGTAAGCGCCACCATCAGAGTATAAAGAGTTTTAATTCAACTTTTCCTCTTCATTCAAGGCTTTGAAGGGAGACGTGTGCAGCCTTTCCCAGTCTCTGGAGGCCTCGCTGCTGGAAAAAGGAGAGATAGCCTCTCGTTTGAATTCCACTCAGGACGAAGTCCAGCAGATGAGGACCGGCATCGAGAAGCTTCAGGTCCGCATCGAGTCCGACGAGAGGAAGAAAAAGAAGATGGGGGAACTGCTCAAAGGTAACTCTACCCTCAGCTGGGAACGAAGCGAAGCTGCTGCGTTTTGTTCGAGGCGGTGGTGTGACCGTGGCTTCTTGTTTCTGCAGCTGCGCAGAGGAAGTTTGACTCGCTGCAGGATCGGCTCGATGCCCTGCAACGAGAGAAGGACGACGTGGAGCAAAGCCTGGAGACGGCTGTGCTGCAGGTATTCAACTTTTGATATTTCTTTTTGTTTTGTTTTTTGCAGGGTYCCTGCAGATCCTTAAAAGCCTTTAAAAGGCATTGAATTCTTCAATCCAAAAAACAAGGCCTTAATTAGCCTTAAAATGTCTTAAATCAATCTTTCAGAAGCCTTAAAAATATTAACACATTGTAAATAAGATGACTGTAATTCATCTCAAATATTAAAATAATTGGTAACGTCTATATTTTTAAATATTTACATGCAGACATTCTCCTTTGACATCACTTCCTGTTATTTAGATGCAAATATCTCAACAACTGTCCATCTGAGCACTGTGAAATTTGTTTTGTAATGTGTTAATAATGTCATTTCAAAAATGCATTCACTGTTCTTACAAATTTTGAAATCACATTCACTTAAGGTTTCCTCTACAGCAAGTAAGGGTTAAAACCCCACTGTGGGTCCTAAAACACCAAATTTGGGGTCTTTAAATTGACTGATAAGAGTGTTGTCGCTATATTTGACAAAAAAGCAGTTAGATCTGGATAAAAACAATTGGTCTATTATCAATATTAGAATACTTCAACCAAAAATACTTTGATTCATGAGTTTCTGCCACAGATTTATTTATTTATTGTCATTTTTGTGTTTATATGAAATTGGTCTTAAATTTAATTTCAGTTGGCATTAAAAAGTCTTAAATTGAACTTGCTTTAAACTGTAGGAACCCTGTTTTTAACTGGCAGCTTATTTTAATGTTGTTTTCCTCAGGCTGAAACTGCCAGAGCTGAGCTGGAGGAGGAGAGGCAAAAGGTACAGTTTTTATATTTTGTTTTTATTTTTGAACCCGTTAGGTTTGTTCTTTAACCCTGCCTCCTCTCTGGTCTTCCAGGTGGAAGAAGAGAAGAAAGAGCTCAAGGAGAAACTGACTGAACTCTCTGCTGCTCTGGACAACCTGAGATCTGTGAAAGCACATCTGGAGAGAGAGCTGGAAGCCAAACAGAGGGAGATAGACGAGCTGAAGGCAGCTAAGGATGAGCTGGAGACGGGACTGGAGAAGGCAGAGGTGGCTAGGAGAGAAGAGGAGGAGAGGCAGAACCAGAGGGTGGATGAACTGCAGAGAGGACTGAGAGAAGAAGCTGAGAGACGAGTGAACGACCTCCAGACGCAGCTGGAAGCCTGTCAGCAGAGGGAGGCTTTACTGAGTTCAAAATGTGCCGAAACTGAAGAGGAAAACACAAAGATGCAGTCTGTGTTGTTAGAGTTGGAGACGGAGAGAGAAAAGCTGCTGAGTTCACTGCAGGAGTGGCAGATGAACGGAGAGAGGTTTCGCTCTCAGGGAGAAGAACTGGAAAAGGACAGAAACAGCCTAAAGACGCACATCGAGTCACTGCAAGAAGAAACAACGGCTCTTAAAACACTTGTTCAGGTCAAAGAGGAAGAGAAGCTCGCTTTAGAAAAGGAGGCAGATCAGAGCCGAGCTTCACTTCAGTCCATCTCAAATCTCACTGCAGAGAAGGAACAGTTAGAAGAAACGAACCAACGGCTGGTTGAAGAGAAGCAGAAACTGCAGCTGAGCCTGTCCACAGTGGAGGAAGAGAGAGAGAACATGAGCTGCGCTCTGGAAGCCACGAAACAAGAGAAGGACCGCTTGGATCAGGAGAGACGTGTGTTAGAAGAAGAGAAACAGAACCTGCAAGAAACGCTCTCTTCATTAAAGCAGGCGAAAGAACAAACCGAGCAGGAGAAGCTGAGGGTAGAGGCTGAAAAGGGAGAGTTGCTGTCTTCCTTTTCTGCGATGGAAGAAGAGAAGAACAACTTGTCTTCAGCTGTTTCTCTGCTGGAAGAAGAGAAGCAGCAGATGAAAGAGGAGAACGAGAAGATTGCAGAAGAGCAAGAGCTTCTTCAGCAGACAGCAGAATGTCTGAAGAAGGAAGCAGAAACTCACAAACAGACCGTCTCACAGCTCAGAGAGCAGGTAAACAAGTGTTTCCCTTCAACAGGAGGATTCTTTGATTGGTGCCTGATGTTCACTTCTCTCCATCCATGTCTTTCAGGTGTCGGAGCTGACGTCTCGCTCAGCTCGTTTGTCCAAAGAGAGAGACTCTGCTCTGAGCAAAATGAGTCTGTGGATGAAGACGTGCAAACAGCTGGAGCAGGAGAGGATGATGTTAAACAGCTCAGGTGGGAAACTTTTTAAAATTTATTTTGTATTGAGAGTTCGAGGGTAACGTTTGCAAGACCTCTTTGTTAAAAGAGTTTTAGTTTGATCTCTGTTCTTTGTGTTTCAGAAGAAGCAAAACCTGAAAACGTTCAAACTGAAGAGCTGGCGCAGCTGATGATGGAGGCAGAGCAGAGGAAGAAAGAAGTAGAAGAGTTGACGGCTGCCCTGCAGAAGAAACGAACCGAGGCTGAAGAAAGACTGAAAGAAACTCAGCAGAAAGACGAAGAGGTGGAGGAGCTCCGAGACGCCCTGGCCCAAAAGAAAACAGAGCTGGAGGAGAGGAAGAAGGAGCTGGACGAAGCAAACCAACTGGCTGAGGAGAGAAGCAGAGAGGCAGACGAGAGCGTGGAAAAATACTGCAGCCTGCTGATTAAAGTGCACAAGCTGGAGGAGATCAACGAGGGGCTGAAAATACGACTGGAGCAGTTTACTGCAACCCGCCGTGCTAACGAAGCTAACGACAACCGCCGGCGTTCATCCAGGAAGTCTTCCAGCAAACGGCAGGAAGCAGAAAAGGACGACAACGCGGAGAACCTGGTTCCCTCAGCGGCTCAGGGGGCGTCGCCCGGGAAGCGAGGCCGCAGTGAGGTCAGTGACGAGGGCAGCGCCCAGGAGGTCCTGCACAACCTGACCAAGAAGCTGAAGGCCAGCRCCATGACCACGCCCAAAACAAGAGGGGAACAGGAAGAGGAAGAGTTCAGACCAGAGGGTCTCCCTGAGCTGGTGCAGAGAGGTTGGTCAGCCTGCAGCCTCTCAGTGTTACAGTGTCGTAAACTGATGAACCGTCCTGCTGTACTGAAGAAAAAATCACTGAACTGCTCTGTTCCCTCCAGGCTTCGCTGATATCCCTGTGGGGGAGGCCAGCCCCTTCATCATGAGGAGGACCACAGCGCGGCGCTGCAGTCCTCGCCTGGCTGCCCGCCACCCTCTGCCYGACAGCAAGGTGAGCACCCATCCACACTTAGAGACAACTTCACAGCACATCCACTGAAGAGACGACTGGTTTCATCAGCATGGAGTTGAACAGACTTTAACTGATCATCGGATTAAACTCGAATGAAGTCGAGSAGAGTTTGAGCTGCTTAAATACGATTAGTTCAGAAGCTGCACACACAAGTGATTTTACCTGTAGAAAGGTAAATCTAAAAAATAACTGTTTTTGTTTCTTTATTTAGTGTAGTTTGTCAGTTTTGCCTTGAAGAAATCATCTTTTATTTATGTTTCTACCAATGTGAGCAGCTGTTCCAGCTGCATGAACTAATCCTAGTAAAGTTGTTTTATTTCTGACAGCTGCCTCAGACTGTATGAGGGTAATGCTTTTAGTTTCCTCATACATCAGCAGGAGGTCTGGTCTCACCTACTGTTTCAGGTCAAAGATCAAAAGAGGGGAAAATGTTTCTGAAGCTCCGCCTCTTCAGCCTCACTCATTTACTTCTGAGAAATATTTATTTGTTTTAATTTGGTGTTCTGTCTTTTTATGTTGACCKTCAGGTTTTGGGGTCCGTCCCTTTCCAGAGCCCATCGACAGACCGCTCCGACAYGAGGGGTCTCTCCCCTCACAACAAGGAGAAACTTTCACAGAACGAGTCGAAGCAGCAAGTTTTAAAAGAAACGACACAAGAAGAGAATTGTCGCGTTCAGTAGATCACATTAATATCATCTAATTTACTCCACAGAATAGAATCCTGGCACTAGTTTTTATAAAAAAAAAATTTATAAACACTTTCTGATTTTTAGATTTTCTGATGTCTTATTATAAACCAGATGTGTTTACTTTTTTTAGAGATCGTTTCTGTTTTCCTACWGCCTAATTATGGTACTCTCTTATTTTATGTCTGTCAATTTCATTTCTTTTTTGTTCTTTCTGCTGTAGAAAAGATTTGCTAAATGTTACTGTTGTGTAACAAATCACTAGACAGGCAGATAACACATCTGTAGATTTACTGCCTTTTTTCTTGCTTTTATCTTTTTGATTTTTTTTTTTAGTCAGTATAAAACTTGAAGTTTTTTCCCTCTGTTTCAAGCATCTGTGGTCATTTAGCATTTAGGCAAATATAAAATTTGCTGATAATTGTAAATATTTTGCATATTTTTTTATTTTTTACTAAACTTTTGTTTTTTACTGCATTAAATTGTCTGGTCTCTTTGTCATAAAACACGTATAGTTTACACAGTAACACTGGGTCGCCACAGGGTGGAGAATCTGAGCTTCGCCCAGGAAAAATGTCTGAGGAGGAAAATTACGAAGTTGAGAATAAAGTAGAGTTTTCTGTCTGCAGAGCGAGTACCAGTACTTTAAATACTACTATATTTTTATAGGATTCATCAGACTGGGAGTAAAAAATGAAAAACTTGTCAACTACTAACTGAAGAACCTTCATTTGAACTCAGGCGACTGTATTTGAAGGTGCAAATCATTAATTACACAATGATTTCTCAAAGATGGTATAAAAAATGAAATATTTACGCAGGACTTTAAAAATCTAATAACTATTTTAGACTGAATTCATGTTTTGGATTTGAGATGGTTCCCTAAATAAAACTCAAGTTTATTATGTTTTCTTTTGCTGCAGTATATTTGGACATTGTTTTTAATAAATGACCTGTAATAATAAGGCTCTAAACTGAAGGTCTGTGTGCCAAATCGGGCTCTTGTTAACATTTTATCTGGCCTCATACTTTAAATGAGAAATAGTTTGATGGTTTCTTATTTTGTTAATGTATTTAGCACATTCTTGTCATAACATAAAGTACTGGATTTTTAATGAGTTTTCTTCTTTTTTTTYCCACATTTGCTGGATTGTGGATGGTAGAGTGTAAGGCATAAGAAAAGAATACTAATGAGTCTAAAAAAAAATCATTATTAGGTTATGCATGTTCTAAATGCTATAAAACATAATTAGGAAAAGTATATAGAAAAAATTTAACCCTTTTTCAATAAAGATTTACAGAAACTGGTCCTTGACTTGGACAAAGTTTCTGAATTTTGGCCTTGTGTARCTTGGTTTGACACTCCTGGGTTAGAGGGATATCTAAGTTACGAGCATAATTTTAGTTTTACGTTTTTAAAAAGGAACCCGACKATATAAACCCATCCACATCTAGGCTGTAGGAAAATGTTTCTCCTCTCGGACACATGTCCTACCTTTTTGGTCAAGTGGTTCCAGGTTTGTCAGGTCGGCACAGAACAATCTGAGCAGCAGGAGGAACAGTTTTCAGTCTAATCGTTTATTGTTGCAACTCTTCAGGCCCTGAAGGTTTTCCACATTTGTTTTGAGTGATTCGACCCCCTGCAGGACAAACCGCACCAGAGGAACAAAAGCTGATGTAAATGTCAGAAATGATTAGCAGGTTTTTATTTCTGTGTGAACCTGAGGAACTCTTGCTTTAGATCGATAACATCGATGTTCTTTTTTTTGAACGTTAGAGGTATTGATGTGACCTTTTAACCTCCTGTTCTGCTAAGACCTCCCTGAGACCTTTAAACGTTCATCCGTTTGTCGTTGGAGGATGAATGTGATCACAGAGGAGGGACAGCGAGCTTTATACGTTCACCTGGTGGGCTCACACACCTGCACTCTCCTGTGTGTGTGCTCTGCAGGAGGGTTATGTGGAGGTTATGGGAACAGAGATGAGACAGTYGTGCTCTGGTGTCTCTGGCTGGAGCTGTTATCGGAAGCTGCAGTGCCAGAACCAACTCTGGCCCAGGACATGGGGAAACCAGGAGATGGGTTTGCTGAGCCTTGTTTTCACTGGCACTGACACTCGAGTGTGTGTGTGTGTGTGTGTGTGTCTGTCTGTACATCTGACAGACTGATTGACTGTCCACCGTCCACCCACCCCTGCTGTATGCATGATTTGTCCCATTCTTCACCCAGCAGCCCTGTGTAAGCCGGAGGGTCACAGACAGGAAGTGGTTATGAAGTGAAGTACAGTTTCAGCCACAGACGTGGCTGTTCTGTTTATACAAATCTCACACTTTGGTGGAAATGTTAATTTCTTTTCTTAATTTAAACGTCACGATCCGGTCACAGCTAATAAAAGTACAAGTTTTTTTTTCTTTCRGTGAGTAGAATCTGGTGGTACGCCAGTGTACTGTAACTGTAAGTGTTGATTCTAGTCTGTACTTCCTGCTTTCATAACTTCACCTCACGCTTCATCAGACCTGCAGCCCACAGGCCGCTCACACTCATCAGACCCCTCTGTGGTCCGGGAACTTTAAACACTAATAATAACACAGCAGATCAGCTGCTTTGATCTGACAGAGAAAGAACACCATAAATTAAATATACAGACTTTAATAGGACATAAACCTAAAATCCACTGAATCTTGTTTTGAAAGGGGCATACACTAAATTGCCAAAAGTTTTTGCTCACCCATCCAAATGACTGTGCACCAGTGCACAAAGCAAGGTCCATAAAGACAGGAATGGCAGGGTCTTGTGTGAATGAACTTGACTGTCCTGACCTCAACCTGATAGAACACCTTTGGGATGAATTAGAGCAGAGACTGAGAGCCAGGCCTTCTGTCCAACATCAGTGACCTCACAAATGTGCTTCTGGTCAAAAATCCCCATAAACACACTCCTAAACCTTGTCMTTTTGTTGTGCAACTGGAGTCTCTAATAGTGCAGAAAAGTTTAAATATCATGAATTCCTGTAGGTTCTTTACTGTAAGTTGGCCCTTAGGCTTACTGTAAAAGAAAAACATTTTTCTGTTGCTTTTATTCAGAACAAACCAACTGAATAATTTAAATGTGAAAAGGAAGGATTTAAAAGCATGATATGTCTACTTTACTGTGTTGTTGTGGGTCTGAATATGATTGATTTTGTCTAATTTAACTCCTCAATATAAGTTAGGAGACTTGGTTTGCTGCAGCTGATGGGACTCGTGTCAACTTGTGCGTTAAGGTTTTTTTTTCTCATCACAGCGTAAAACTTGGCTCAAACCGGCCAGCTGGGACCGTAAAAATACAGAGAAACTTTAGGTTGTTTTTATTTGTAGAGAATACAGATGGTCCTGCTTTAATACGCATGATAAGAAAATCTGATTTCTCTCAAGTGTGTTTCTGTACGTATTAATGAACACAACAATTGTGAGATTTATGACCCCTTTAAACTGCATTTAAACCCTTTAGAGCTCTGTCAGTTTCACAWTAAATACTAGATTACATCCTTATAATTAGACATGCAGTTTCCTCAGTGACCTAAATGAACCATTAACAAAGAAAAGGGCTGTTTAAGACAATAACGATTCTTAAAAATATATTTGTAAATCTTTGACATGTTTATGTTTGAGAAGATAAATAAAACTGTATTTATGAAATAGTTGTGATATACAGTCACATTTGTATGATTGCAATCTTATATAGCCCAAAGTTAGGGAAATTTGTGTTTGGTATATTATTTCTCTGTTATAGCAATGCTTCAAAACAAGAGTCAACAGCAAAACAAATTGATTGGCAGAGGAAATTTGGCAAWTTTTTTCACGTGCACAACCCACATACTCARCTCTACTGCTCATCCCACAAATGCATGTTCCTTACAAATGTGGCACCATTTAAAAGTGAAATTACAGACTTTCCAACAKTACAAGATTGATTGCCAAGAAGCGTTGTTACAATAAAGAACTAATSTACCAAACASAAATWWACWCACTTTTTGTGTTWAGTATATGARGTGACCAGAACTCTAATATTTTCTGACTAGTCAGCAATAATAATCTTGTTTATAAAAGTTTGATGGTTTTACATCATGTGATTTGCATTGGATTAGATTAGATTAGACCTTTATTGTCATTGTACAGAGCACAATGATTACAGTTCAGAACACTCATTCAGAAGAACACAGAACATAACAATCACAGGAGAACAGGTGCCCTGGTTCATGCAGCCACTGACCCTGCACAGAGCAAGGATCATCTTCATGAAGACATCATGAGGAGGCGCAACCCTCAACAGAAAAACTAAAAACCACACTAATAAACACGTCTTCATCAGAGCTGAGACAATAAGTGTCATAGACAACATTCATTCAGTTCGGTCTAAAATATTCCTATTCATGGTGAAAAACCTAAACTTTAAAAATGTGAAAGTGACAACATGTTGCCAAAGACAGTGGTATTACATTGTAATAAAGAAAGACTTTATTAGGTTTATATGTTGTGGTAGAAATTATAATCAAGACAAAAACAACAACAAAAAAGTGATTTTTAGTGATTTTATTCCATTTTTTTATTTAAAAWAATTGCCAGCAGAATTGCAGGGATGTGGCAGAAAATAACCCACCTTAAGCAAAGGTTTTTACTCAGGTAGAGCTCATGGAAGAGGAGATGAGGTCTTGTCAGAGATCAGTATGACCTAACATCAACATCTGTTGCAACTAATGAAGACGTAACAAAAACAGGCTCACAGGCGAAGCGCTGACAAACAATCTGAAGAAAAGCTTCAAGACAGTTTGTGCTTTTCTGTCAGTAGAAGCATGAGTGCATCATGCTGGTTGTCACTGGTGTGTTGCAGGTTCAATTCAATTAGATACTCTAAACTGTTGTTGTGTAAAAGTGTGAACGATTGTTTTGGTTTTTGTCCTGTGGTGGACCTCTACCTCGACCCTGCTGCTCCCCGTGACCCTGAACAGGAACAAGTAGCTGAAGGAAATGGATGTAAAAATCAAAAACTGGCACAATATAACTGTTCAGTTTTGTATTACAGTTCTCCAGTGTTTAAAGCACGTTTGAGGCACTGCCACGTTTAAGTCTCTGTTCCTAAATGTACGCAGAATTCAAGGCACGTTTGAAAAAWACGTCTCATCTTTACAGACGAGCTGAATCTGAAACTGTTATGATGCTGTASAAAATAATGAGACTGAAAGCAGCAGGACGTTAACGTGGATCACGATGATCACATTCATTACTCAGTTCTAAGCGTTGACTGAAAATCTGCTGAGGGTCTAAAAATAAGGAACAATCCTGGTCTGACACGTCTACAATAAGTTTTACTTCCTGTTGGCAACAAAGAGTTGAACGAAGTGAACCAGCAGCTCGTACAATCAGAACCGTCATTTAGAAGGAGATGAGACTTCTGCTTTTTTATAACACAATATAAATGGAAGGTTTCCACAACTTTTTTTATAGCAAAATTTATCTTAAAAATCTGAAAACAAACATTATTGTAAAGGTTGTGTATTTTACTTTAATCTTTGTTGCGTTTTTATAAACAGGAGTTTGTTCCAGAGATTCTCTCCACCAGAGGAACTGTTACATTTCTGACATCATGACATACGTTGGGTTTCTTTTCTAACTTCCCAAATACTATAAATCTAGACCTGCTTGTACGGTCCCTTCAGGTTCTTCAGGCTCTTTGTTTTGTTTGCGGGACAAGAAGAGAACAGATCCAAGACATTGACCTCTTGTTTCCATWAAGAAGAGTGAAAATGACTTCACTTCAGTCACAAAGTGCAGCTCATCTCTTTTTGACGTATAAATAAAAGCCGTTCATRTTTTTGTAAAGAGGTCCCCTCTTTCAGGGTCCAGGCCATTCATGAGCAGCCCTCCGTTCCTGACCAGCGGTGTGGTCAGGTCCAGCAGGCCGCTCTCCTTCTCGTTCCTCTCCCGTTCGTCGGTGAAGTTGACCGACATGGTCCTCTTGGGCAGCGTGAGCTCAGGCGCTGAGCTGAATCCCAGCTCTGAGGACAGTTTGCGTTTGATCGAAGCGGCTCGYTGGAACCGATCGTAGATCTCCACGCTGACGCGACGCCGTGTTTCTTTGAACTCTGCGGAAACATTAGCCGTCCACTCTGCTGCGTGGGCTCGGATCTCCCCCACCTGCAACAGAGACGGAGACAGAAGGTTTAGCTGCTTTACTTTCTGTAAATCTAAAAATAAAAACACAATTCCAGATTAAACGGAAGATCCACATAAATCTGAAACTTCAATTTAAATAAACTGAAAACAGTGGTGGGCAGAGCTAACAAAAATTTAGCTTTGGTAACCCATGATACGCTAACTAAAACTAAAGCTTTGCAAACGCTAAATCTGCATGTAAAGATATTCCAGAAGCTAACGATAAACAGCTAATTGCTGAGATTACTGTCAATTATTCTGCGTCACATTCATCTTCCAGTTGAAGACTGGTGGGACTGACACAAACCTGTTTATGCTAGCTTGTTCGTTAGCTGTTAGCGGACTTAAAATTGGCAAAACCTAATTTAGTGGAAGCTAATTGATCTGCTAATAGTTCGAGAAGNTTGACCAAAGTGCTTCACAAGGTAAATACAATCAAGCCATAAAATCAGTACAAAACACAAATTACAGTAAAAGAAAGTAAAAAAAGATATATAAGGTGCTTCACAAGGTAAAACAAATACAATCAAGCCATAAAAACCAGTACTAGTTAAAAACACAAATTACAATAAAAGAAAGTAAAAAAAGATATATAAGATGCTAATAAATCTTTTTTAAAATCTAAGTTTATTTGTATCAGTGAACATTATGGTGCAAAAACAAACAAATGCACTGCTTATCATCTGATAAACAATAATTAAGAAATTAAGTGTGGATTATCTGATTTAGTTAATGTCGTTAAATAGTTCTCCATGCAGGAAATGTACAAAAATCTTAACTAGGTTAATTAAAAAAGGTTACTTATTTCTAAAACACACCACCAAGGCTGACGACTTAAATACAAGCTGGTGTTTCCAAGCTGCTGAGGTTATCACAGCTGGACTTCAACGAGATCCAACATCAGCTCAGCTGCAGACGAAGCCTGGTAACATTCATTTAATCCTGTTTGACTAATGCAAACTGTGTCCTGTCATTGTGTTCGCTGAAGTTTAAAAAGATGTTTGGCTGCGAGGAACCAGCTGAAATAAATCGAGTCATGTTTATTCACACTCTCAGGTGAAATCCAATTATCAGATGGCAACAGCTCCATCTTTCTGAAGGAGAAACTCAAGATTAAGGGCTTTTTAAAAATAGTGACAAAAACTTTCACATGTTCCTCTGTAAAAAAAACGAATACTAAATTAATTTGTACAAGATGTGGTATCACTAATATATCTTAAGTTTTAACTAGAAAGTGTGGCCAGTCCTGGTCCTCGCGGGCTGCTGTCCTGCATGTTTTATTGTTTCTCTGCTCCAGAACACCTGATTTGAATGAATGGGTGATTACCAGGCTTCTACAGAAGTTTAAAATATTATTCAGTCACTAAACCAGGTGTGTTGGAGCAGAGAAACAAGTAAAACATGCAGGATGGCAACCCTCCAGGACCAGGATTGCCCACCCCCTGAACTACAAACTTCCCCACAAGCTGCAAAACAATTAAAGCAGCAGATAAAAACTAACACACCTCTTCTTTTGTCCTTCTGGAGATGACTCTAAGCCAGTCTCCGATCATGCTGAGGATAGCTGCAAAGTAGGCCAGACCCACCAGAATCCAGAACCAGACCACTGGTTTGTAATAGTCCAGATACTGTATGTCCGAGCCACCTGGACACAGGCACAGAGATGAGACACAATGCATAAAAAACACATGCAGGTGTTAAGAGGTGTTCTATTCACCTGCCACAAAGTCTCCAAAACCAATCGTAGTCAAGGTGATGACGACAAAGTAAAGGGACTCGAGCGCCGACCAGCCCTCGATGTGTTTGAAGATGGCTGCTGGAAGAGCCACGAACAGCAAGCAGCCGAAGAGAACAAAGAGCAGCGTGGAGATGACCCGAATCTTTGTCTGACTGATGTCCCAGCGCTGCGGGAGAAACAACAACACGGGCTTTTATTTTGAAAAATGAAGTCATTAACAGACTAATAATTATACAGCTCTATACAGTGATGGATTTTTCTTTTTCAGTTGACAATATATTGATTGGAGACTTTTAGCCTTCTGGCTCCTCATCCATTTTTTAAAATTATTTATTTTAGCTTTGGCTGCTTTTAGACAATTATTTAGCTACCTGAAAGTGTTACACACTTTTCTGCAGCAATTTTATGCTACAAATATGTACTTTCTCTTACAGTTTCTGGTTCTTATTAAGTTTTTCTTTTTAGCTAAAGCATCTTAAATGAGCATAAGTAAGGTGTACATTTTAGGACATCCTCAAACATCAGATAAAATGATGCCTCAGATGTCAGACCATAGAGAGAAAAAGCATCATGTTTCATTGAAAAYCCCATTAGACCTCTGACTAAACAGCATCAGACTAAAAGGTCTAACTGTGAAAATTAGCCATGTAAAATATTAAGTTAAAAAATACAAGATTGTACTCTGAATCTTCTCAAACTAAATAAAATAATCTGCCAGTGCAGTATGTCAAAATCATTTTGAAAAACTTCTTAAAAAACATTTTTCAGGCTAAAAAGAATATTAATTTAACACATTCTGCTCTTGGTTCCTATCTCAGTCTTAAAACAAGATCAAAAATAAGTTTTTGCTGGAAATAAAGTTATAAAACTTGGTTAGTTGGACGACTTGAAGTGTCTCAGGGAGTTTGAGGACTTTTCTTCATTCCTTTTTCATTTTAAAATCAGATATTTAAAAACAGGTGGTTATTCATATTTTGGTTRATGTGGTCAAACACAATCCACACAGAATAACAAAGCTTTGTTTTAAATCATAGTTACCAACAATGAATCCCTAAAGAGCAAACTGTTCTGAACTACATCTGCAGATGTGTCACATTTTCTGCTCTTCCTATTTAAAACCACAAAAGTTAATTATTGTTGACYCAGCCTTTAAAAAGCTGACCACACACAGTTTTTATTTTAATTATCTGTTCTGGGATCTGCAGGTTTGTTTCTAGCAGGAAACTGTCTGAACGTCTGTCTCGGCAAAGATAAATACGACATCAAAAACATCCTGAGTACTTTTAATTTGAATGAGTTTAAACCAGTTAATTTGTTTAGTTTGACTTCTGTAGTCAGCTTTAATCTAGCTGGAAGCTGCGTTTGCTTTCTTCTTCTTCTTTCTTGCTCTGGGTAAGATACCCTGTCAGCGTCTATAAAAAGTGACTCAGCCTGCAGGCTTTCCTGTCCTTTCAAACCGTTATTAACTTATCAGCTTGTAGCCATGACTTATTGCTCTTGTGGCAGCGTACCATTAAATCATGGTTACGCAGTAATAATTTTCCCACTGCTGTCAGCCGGAGCTGAGGTGAAGAGGCGACATAACAAAGCCAAAATAAAAGAGCACCTCCTCTGAGGAGTTATTCTTTTAGATTTATTCTCAGTTCCTGCTGTATTTACAGTATATTATAATTCATCAGATTACATGTTTTATTTAGTGTACTGAGCATTAACTTGTTGATGTATTTTATTTAYAGACCTGTGTTAGCATCTGCAGGTTTTATTACAAACTCACCACAAACATTTTCTCCACTTTGGCAATGCCTTTACCAAAGATGGTGCCCAGCTGATCTCCCACACCAGCCAAGAGGAAACCGAACAGAGGTATTCCCAGCAGAGCGTAAATGATACAGAATATTCTTCCACCTTCAGTGTGTGGAGACGTGTTCCCAAAACCTGCAGAGACCAAATACATGAGCAAAAATACACACATATAATGGATTTAATTAAAAAGAAATATGTCAGCTGTTTCCACTCAACTGAACTGAGTAAAGTACATTTATTTTACATTGACTTTAAGAAATGTAAAGTTAACGTAAAGTAAATGTGACCTTAACTCAATTAAATTGAATGGAAAAAGTTTGTACTTAAATCTGTTCTTTACAAGAGTAATTATTTTTCACTCAACTTTTCTTTACATTTTCACACAATTATCTTTACTT